TCCTCCTTTTCAACCCATCTTTTTGTAGTTTCCTGTATTCCAACAGCTTGATATAACATACAGCAGTGACAATCTGCTGGCAATAATGCAGTGGACTTGGAGGGTTTTCACCCAAAAATATTGGAAGCGAAATATTGTTTTCAAGGCTGAACTTAGAGGCTTTTATACTTATGATGAGTTAGTTAGATTAGAATAATAGTTTAGCTATAGTATGTATTATACTGCTTGAATGAAAATACTGTATACTTATGTTTTCAATTGATTAATAAACTAACAATCTAACCTGGCTACGGGTACTCAAAAAAAAAATAAATTAATTAATAATTATATTATGAAAACATCAATAAATTTTGTAAATTTTTAAATTTATTTTTTAAAAGAAAATAATTATAAAAGTATTTAAAAATATTTATTTAAGAATTATTTTTGAAAGTATTTTGAGTAAATAAACAATGGATTTTATATTTTTAAAAAATATAAATATAATAATTATTATTAAATTTTAATTAGCAAGAGATGGGAGTTTTTATAATATAATATCCGAAAGAATTATACCAAGCTTACTATTGCTTTTTCAAAGATATTTTTTCACTTCTATAATTGAATATCCTACTCTTTTAATCCTGTTCAATTGAGAAACTGGAACTTTAATATAAAAAAAAGTTGAAAAAGAATAATATCTGTGAAGCAAAAAATAAAATAAAAATAAAACTATCAAGTATAAAGTTTTGATATCATAATGACGTGAAAAATAGTTAAGAAAACATGTCACATTAAAAAAGTCATTGAAAAGTCTCATTAAATAAATATTTCAAAAAAAAAATAATAATAATCCTACTATCAATTATTGAATTTATCATATACATGTACTTATTAAAACATTTGAAAATAGCATTAAAACTCTAAAATGAAAATAGGAAAAAGTTGATTTTCGGTTGTTTTTTTTTTTTTTTTTTTTTTTTGGCGGTTTGTAAGGCCGTTTGTTGCTACTCATGATTTCTAGATTTATATTACACAAAAAAATAAGAATTTTTAAACCAGATATTTAACTATCTCTCTTTTAGGAATAATTTTTCCATAATCTTGGTAGTAAACAATCCGAAAAATAGATGTTTCTTGATATTATATTAATTCAAATTCGTAGACTTTTGAGAAATAATTCATGATATCAATACTTTTTATTTAAATTTTAATAGATTTTTAAAAGTATTTTTTTTAATCAAAGAAATTGGTAAAATTTATTGATTGGTGGAAGATATATCATTAATTTTAATTTATCTCCGACCGGCTTTTCTGAAAACTTCTTCCATTAATCATATGAAGTAATACTTGACTCACAAATAGACAAAGTCTTAAATTTTTCTGTTTAGATTCATACATCTTGCGTATTAAAAAAGCACATGCCATGTAATTGTGTTCGATATTTTATATGAAAATCAAAATCTTTATTTAATATAAAATATATGGTGGTATATTGAAAATAAATAAGAAATTAAACAACATCACACGAACGTTAGTGGTTGCTAACTAAAAAATTTCAACAATGGAAATCAAAAAATAAAATAAAATAAAGTATAACCGAAAAGAATGGGAGAAAATAAAAGGACAATATCTATCTAAAGCTATCAATAAGCATGGTTTCATGTTCATTTTGTGGAAAGTAGGTGAAGTTCTGCTGATAATAAGCAGAAGTATTTTCTGCAATTTGGTTTAAAACTTCTTTTCCTTTACATGCATCACCTCCATAAAATTTATTATCAACATCGATTTCGTTATAATTTTTGCCGGCGAGAGATTCTGCTACATCCCTCTCATTTCGTAATGGACCTTGAATATTAACAAACATTTGATTTAGTTCCTTGGTATATTCAGGAGAATTAGGGTTGAGAGTTTGTTTACTGTTTTTTAGTTCTTTGTCAAATTTTTCACATCTATCTTCTAGTATTTCATTAAACCCAAACAAGATACATTTCAACCTTTCAGGACAATTGTTAAGGTCAATTTTTGTAGTGCTTATCCATCGGTAAAATTCTTCTCTTATTTCTTCTCTCATAAAAGGTGGCTTGTGCTTGAGTGTGTTTTTAAGACCTAATAAAACAATCGAGAAGCACTCTTCAGCGTCTTCTGGGCCATCAATTTTTCTTTTGACGCCATTGTCGTCAAATTGCTTTCTTCGAGACCAATCAGGGTAATAGTTGGCCACTTCAATGTATTTTTCCAAGAATTCCATGGTGTCGTAAAAGATTTCATATGTCACCTTTCGTTCATAGGCGGATAAGGTGATTTGTTCTTGAGCTTGTTGCATTCTCCAGTTAAACATTGCTTTTTCTATACTCAATTAATATTTTATATTAATTCAGAAGTTCAGTGGTCTAAAAGAAAAATTTAATTAAATTTTTTTCGAAGAGTTTTATAAAAAACCGAATGCTTAGAGAAAAACGCCGGCTAAATACCACTCCTAATAAAATTAAATTCGGATGATAGTTATAAAAAATTGGAAATATTTACTAAGAATAATAACTGCAAGAATTAAATATTGTACAAAAAAACAAATGTAATTGTATCTAAATTAAGTTTAATAAGATCCCATTCAGAAATGCAGAAACAAAGAAACAAACAAATTAAGCTTATCAGCAAAAGAAAACATAACCTTAAAAGAGAAATAAAAAAATTATAATCTACGAGAAAAAAAAAAGATAACAACGAAACAATCAAATTAAGAAACGCCCACTTGATAAAATCAGAGCTACCGAAATTTTCATGTGAAAAATGGCTTCCAACAATAAAGGATTTATTATAATATTATCAGAAAAAAAAATTTTTTTTTCTGGAAATTTCTGTCTCATAGTGTCTGAATTTATATAAAGTATAGATTCCCACAGCGTTAAATAATTTTTTATTAAAATTAATAAAAAAAAAGTTGTCGCAAAATGTGTGAAAAGTGGATGGACTTAAAAGTAAGCTGCCCGGCATTTGATTGCGCAAACCAAGAAATCACTTCATGGGTTCATGCTACGGATGGGTATACTATGGAAATATCCACCAGAGCACGTCTTCGGTGTTCTCACTGTTATTCCACTGATCACATGAAAAATTGGTCTTTTGCCTGTTCCCACCACAAAGGAGTTTACAAGGCGACAAGCTATGATTCATTTACAAAAGCATTGAACATGGCTTTTAAAGTCTCAGGAGACAAACAAGTGATGAAAGAATTGTTACAATATTTGTTCGATAATGAATGGTGATTTATAGGTGAGATTTTGAATTCTATTTTTATAGAAAACCTTAAAAGAGTACATGTATCATAATTTCTTTATTTTTGATTTTAGAAAATATGAAGAAAAATTCGTTTTATTAATTTGCTCTTTTAAATATTTACGAGTTATTTTATTGTTAATTCGGATTTTTCTTGTTGGTATGATACTTAATATTGATTTTTATCTATCAGAATAAAGTTTTCTATGTATTTTTTTTTTAATAAAAGAGTTAATACTTTTTAGGTTTTTTTTTTTTCAGATAACAAGAGTTCCTACTTATACTATCCCTCCGCACGACTTTTTACTGTTTACATACGTTTCTATCTGACCCTAGTTTATTTCAATCAAAAGCTTTCGATTTGTCGTGTATTTTGTAAATTTTCTCACTTTTCCAAAATTGTGAACTCATCGACAGCATTATTACTACACTACGTATCGACTCTATAACGATTCTGCTATTATTTCTATAATTGGTTATATTATTGCTATATTTAGAACTTTATTATCAAAGTTTTTTTTTACTGCTTGATCGACGTTAGTCCAATATGGACTGCTCTCGACAAAAGAAAACTTTGTACAATCAATCTCTGTGATTATAAGATTATCGGCCTAAATCAAGCTTAATTCGGGTCGAAATGTTAAATTGCAATAATTTTTGCTTAATTAAGCATAATTCGCGTCAAGAATTTAAATTCCAATATTGGCATTAATAATTCGCCCAGAATTGGCATAAATTAAGCTTAATTTGGGCCAATATTTTAAATTACAATATCAATTAATATTTGATTAGAGAGTTAAAAAAAAACCGATCCAAATTAAATATAAAATTGAATAACTTTTTTACTAAAATAATATAAGGTTGCTTCCAAAAGTTTGAGTATACTTACTATGTTTTTATTATAAATTTAAACTTTGACAATTTTTAAATTATTAACTATACAGACAAAAATTATAAAAATTATATATATTATATCTTATACTTATTCTATTTCTTATATTTTTAAAAAAAATTTTTATTAATACATTTTAAAGTTTTTCATAATATATGCAACTATCATTCTATGGAAACATATTTCAGATGTGAATTACCAAATTCTAGCAAATTTTATCCAGATTTGTCAAATCTTATTATTTTAAATTTTAAAATGAAATTCATTTAATGAGGCTTATAAAAAATTAGTCGTAATGATTAAACTAATAAAATGAAAATATAGGAAAGAAAAAATTACTTTGAATCTTTATCTTTCATTATATTTATATGAATGCATTATGATTATGAGCCATTGTATAGATTTTGATGCTTTTCATTTGAGAGCATAAATAGTATATTAGATAGGTTTTTTAAACAAATTTACATTTAGAAATAGAATTCTAATGAATTTTTAATCTAGGTTCATTGTCTAATAATTACCAAAATATTGAACCCAAATTAATATATAGATTGATAAATGATTATTGAATTATTAATCTAACTATGTTATATCCTAATAGTAAAAGGCTTAAAATTTTAAATAATTGACTAAATATTGGCTCAATTTCTGAACTAGATCAATTTTTGATTGATAAATTATATCAGTTTTTAAACAATATGTATAATATTTATAAAACAATAATCAATGAATCTGAATATTTTCCACATTTTCCATGTAAACTCTTGCACTTAAAAAAATCAAATTTAGAGATATTTATTGAAATATTAGATCTATTAGAAAATATTATAAGGCATCTTATAAAATTATGAACTTTCGAAGGCTATTCATAAAAGATAATACAAATTTGATAATTATTCAAAATAGGACAGATCAATATAGTAAATGCCAAATTGGAAGTAAAATATTTGATTCAGTTATATACCTATAAAATATTAAAGGCTCATTTATATTAGATAGATTCATGAATCTCAATGAAAGTGTCAATTTATATCTGAGACAAGTTCAATTCTTTTTTATACATTCATAAACTTTCATAATAATGTTATTGAACATTGATTGACCTTTATTTGATAGTATAAACTAATTAATTTACCAAATTATATATTAAATTATATGGTGAAAATTGATTGATTGACAATTAATTTATATCATTAATATATCAAATTATTTATTTTTTGATGAATATTATATGAGTAACATTATGTCAAATAAATATTTTTCAACTAGTGTTGCCTCTCTTTTACTATCCATGGCCAAGTATTAAAAGTTTCTATTATTTCAGAGTATGTTTATTGCCTTAGAAGTTATGTCTTATCCTTTTTTCTCTTTTTTCTATATTCATTTTTTTGCTAAAATTACTTTTTGTTTCTGCTTTTTTCTCAAAGATTGTATATAAATTGATTCCAATATTACTTCTGATATTAGTTTAATCCAATTGTCTTGAGTGAAGTTTGATATATATTATTTTAAAATAAATTTTCTCTTTTTTATATTTACTGTTTTCTGTATAAGCTAATTCTTTATCTTGTAATATTCTTTTTTCAAAGTACTCCCTAGCACTTTAGTTAATGTGATTTTATCTTTTTTGTAAATAGCTTTGTTTTTGTTTAAAATGTTCTCTAGCCCTCCAGGTAAATTTATGTCTATAAATAAATATATACTATTTTAAAGCATTATTCAAATCTTGTACTAATAAGAAGCAAATTATTGCATATTCTCTTCTCTTTAGAGTATATGAATTTTTAGGAATATAGCATGATTTAACTTTAATATTTTTGACTGCTTGTATAATTAAATCAGTGATAGTATTATATATTTCATATAGTTACAAAGATTGTGGATTGTGCTATTTAATAATCATATTAATTTCATTATCATCAGACTTATATTAAATGTTGATATACTTGATAGTTTTTATATTGATATTAATCATCTATTTATTCTCAAGGTTGATATATTTTTTATAAAATGTAATATATATCTTAATTCTTTAGTATAATTATAAATAATTAAATATAAATATTTATTGAACAAATTTGATTTCTTGATGTGAATAGTTTTGGTCAATATTTATAAGTGTAATTACTAGTAAAATTTTCTCTTTATCTTTTATTTACCAGATACTTTTTTATTCGATACTTGAATAAAGTATGTTCATTTCTCCATTTCTATAGGTATAATAGTAAAGTTTTCTTCCTCTTTTTTATTAATCTTTTTGAGACAATATAATACAATATATTTTTCTCTTCTTTACAACAAAATATTGTTTATGTATTACTATTGATAATTTTTTTTTCAAAGAATTGAAAATCTTTTGGCAAGCCTAATGTATTTTGCAAATATGTTATTAGTTTTATTTTAGTTTTTTCTGAAAGCCTGAAAATGAATATACTTATTTTATATTTATTATTCACTTTGATATAAAAGAGATCGATATTGGATGTTTTTGATCTATTTTTTGTCTTATATATATATTACTTGACTATATTGTCTTCTTTAATCTTTTCATTAATAACTTTTATTTTTATTATATCTTTTAGTTTCTTATTTCCTATTTCAATTTCAGTAATATTTAAAATTTTAATTGTTACAGTTGTTTGAACCTCTATTAATATTGTCCTATCTGATGAGCTATGTACAGCAATATTGTTTTCAGGTATTGTCTAACTTAATATAATATTTTGCAAAGAATATTGTACTTGCTCAGCTTGTTTTATTATATCCAAGTATTTGTTTTCTAAAAATAGAGCTAGAAGATCTTCTTATTTTCTTGTCCTTTAATCTATTACAAAGAATGTGTTGTCTGAGAATATTGAATTTGACAAAGATAGTATAATTAATATTCATAATTCTAGCAATGATACTGTCTATAATTAAGTAATGAATTAGATCCAATATAGGGTATTTAGTAATTTATTGAATAGAATTAATATTAAAGAAGGTTTGTATTACCTATAGTTTTTGTTGTTAATTGTATTTATTTGATAATTAAGCCAAGGTCTCTATAATATATACTTCTTTCTTCTTAGCAATCTATAAAAGTTTGTATTTTTTCATAGATTTACTGATTATATAATATAGAAAATAAGTTGACTGTGTTTAGTATTGTTATATTTTGCTGATAATCTTTGCTATATTTTTTTAGACACATGTTGCAAGCTTATTATTTATTATTATTATTTTGATAGTATAAAAAAACTTTATTATTGATTGTGATATTTTGATAATATTTATTTCACATGTATATTGTGTTATTATTGTTGATATTGTTGAGGTTATAGAATTATTGATAATTAATTTGCATAAATATATAGAAAGTGTATTAATATTATTTATTAATATATCTTTTGAGCTTGTTATAAAATTATACAGGTCAGTATTTATATGATATAATATTATTAAAATGCTATTGCTCATAATATACAGTAAATGCTTCTTTACTATATAATCAATAAAACTTAAATATTTCTCTAGATTTTATGAGTATTTGAACTTGAACTGATTTATTGATTTGAATTATTGCTTGTAAAGCTTTTCTTGATATCTTGAAAAATGTTAATCTACACAAACCTGGCTAAGAGCTTTGTAAAATTAATGTTAAACTTCTAAGAGATTACAGTGATTCAGTTTTTCACATTATTATCTCCTTTCTAAAAAAATTTATATAGTAGAAGTTAATGATTTTATAAAACTTACTTCTTCTATACTTTATAAAGAGTTTTTGAACTTGTTTATAAGTTGTTTAGTTGTAAGAATGGTTTTTCTTTTTATAAAAAATTTATCAAAAAAAGAAATTCGCTGAAAAAATTGGAAATCGGCAGAAAGAGTTTTTTTTTTAATAAGAATTAATTAATTATTTTTGTTTGAAAAATATATTTTTTCTTTTTTTTTATTTGAATCCATACTGCTTCTATTTTATTTCTTTTTTTTGTATTTAATAAGTAATTTGTCAGAATAAAAAATTAATTTTTTTTGGATTCAAGATTGCACTGAAATATTTTTATTAGAAAATATTAGTATAATTTTTAAGTTATAGTTTTTTTTCAAGATTTTTTA